GAACAGAAAATTTCAAAGATCAGCTCGAGAAGATAAAGCCAAATATTACAACAAAATGTGCAAAGATCTGGAATCAGAAAACCAAAAAAGAAGAACACGCTCAGCATTTCTCAAGCTGGGGGAACTGAAGAAAAAATCCAAGCTCCTGTACCAGGAGCTATTTGGCCAGCTTTTACTTATAGAATGTGACTGCTAGTGATGATTTGTTTCCAGGTTTGTTCTAAAATACTCCATTCCTTTCAGGTTGGAGGAATGGATGTAATTCCCAGGATGACGTTGGAAGCTCTGTGTTTATAGAAAAGCCTCCATTAGCCTGGGTTCCTTAAAACTGGAACAGAGAGCTGGACCACCAAACTGTTCACAACTATTAGATAAACGGGATACAAACTTCTCTTGTATTTGAAGCACTGTATGTTTTAGGTTTATATTTTATAATATTTTGCTGATAAGTGCTGTTGCATCAGTATAAGGTTTCTGAGGAGTGGCTGGTGAGTTTGAACTGTCGACCTGTGGTTAGCAGTCCAGTGCTTATCTTAGTTAACTAAAATGGAGTCTTGATGGTGCAATGATTAAACACTCAGCTCTTAACAAAAAGGTTGGTGGTTTGAATCTACCCAGAAGTGCCTCAGAAGATGTCTAGTTACCTTTTGCAATACCACTGAAGACCCCTAGGGAGCGCAGTTTTACTGACATGCCCAGAGGCCCGCTATGATTCAGAATCGATTTCACAGCAATTGTCAGGCTAACTAATACAACCCGTGTTAAGAGCTGAATTGTATTTGTTCATCTTAGATACTGTATGCCTCCTTGTGCCACCCAGCCCTATGGGGCTTGCCTTCCTTGGTAACCAGAGGGCCTCTAGCAAATGGTCCGCTTCATTCCACAGTGGGCGTCAGAAGCACATGAAATCAGTAACGGGTTTCCTATGTAAAAGTTTCCACTCAAGGCTTGTAAACAGAAACCAGCATTTTCTTCAGTTTCCATTTCCTGAGAGGAGCCCCGGTGGCACAGTGGTTGAAGTGCTTGGCTGCTAACCAAATGGTCATCTGACCCCATCAACTGTTCCATGGAAGAAAGATATAGCTATCTGCCTCTGAAAAGATTTACAGCTTTGGAAACCGTAGGGGCAGTTCGATTCTGTCCTACCGGATCATTATAAGTTGAAAATGACTCCGAACAGTGGGTTTGGGGTTCTATTTCCCAGCTACATTCTTTCCAGACAAAAAGATCTTTCTCCAGCGTTCCCCTCTCCCACTCATGCTGACCTCAGATGGTAGCTGTCTCCAGCTGCACTGGCTCCCAGAGCCTGCTTGCCTAGTTTCACATGCCCAGGACAGGAAAACAAGGCCTCATCATTCCAACTCCCTTAGAACAGAGAGTTCTACATACTTTTTAAAGCAGCAGAACCCTCTTTTCAAATGGAATATCAAGCTACAGCCCAATATGTCAAAACTGTTTTTACTGGAGAAGGTATGGTGGTGATGAGGCTTTCTTGACAGACTCTAAACTACTTCCATGTTAGAGTTCAATCCTGTTACCTGGTTGTTGTTGCTGTGTGCCGTCGAGTTGGTTCTGACCCACAGCGACCCTTTATAGGACTTCTGAGGCTGTAAATCTTTATGGGAGCAGAAAGCCGTATCTTTCACCCGCAAAGCAGCTGGTAGTTTCGAACTGCTGACCTTGCGGTTCACAGCCCGATTAGTAATCACAACTACCAGAGCTCCTTTGTTACCTGGTGGGGAGGCACATATATCCAAGTGGAGTACTACATATTTAAATTATTGTCTTTTGTGCCCAAATAGCTTCAGATACTCAGGAACAGTTTCCAGCAAGTCCAGAAATTTCAGGCAAGTAGTTCAGACTTGGTGCAATTCTATGAAGATGGGTCATGCAGTCTTCTGGGTCTTGGAAAGGTGCTATGGGGCAGAATGGAGGAAGGCTCTTAGAGGCTGAAGTCTTGTCTTTTCTGTTTGGCAGAACCAAATATAAATGGAATAGTGTTTTCTTTAATCATTCCTTGGCCAGCTGAGCTATTTTGAAGGTAACTGAGACCGGGATTTGACACTATTGTGACTGACGTATCAGGGAGGCACAGTACGCTGGCACCATTTAAAAGAGCAGAAGGGGAGGCTGACTCTAAACTACTGTTAGCCAGTATCTGATGCCATATCAGACCTTGATGAAGACTTGCCAGGGTTCTGACAACACTCCGGGTTCCTGTAACTGGAGGGACTGGGACCAACTGGGAAGATGGTCCAGAAGTACCTGCCTTCACTTGGGCTCAGGCATTGTTAAATCCAATACCAACATAGGGAGAAAGTTTCACCAGGTTTCCCACTTGGAGGTGATGAAGGGGGATGATCTAACATGAACACTGAAAAGATTTGTGTGCACACATTACTGGCTTGCGCATGTTTTAAGGTGTATTTTTATTTACAAAGTGAGACGATGCATCAGTTACAAACAGATATCCAATAACTCCATTCTCATGAAAAAGTATATAAATATATTACAGGAAATTCTCTATAGTAAACATTAGAAATTGATACAGTAAACATTTGCTACTTTTTTTCTATGCCAATAGTATTGTCACTTAAAGCTTAAATACTGGTTTCAAGTATCCCCTATAAAATAACTCTACTTTATTAAAATACTGAGAAAGAATTTTGCTATTAAACAAGATTGGTGGCATTAAAAATAGACTCTAAGTGTTCTTGTAACAATGTCCCACGATGATCAAATGCTGTCGTAATTATCCCTAAGACTTCTAAACCAAAAAGTCAGTGTAGTAAACTGCATTGTTCAGTTTAGTGTTAACCAATTTTTAATAATTCACACAGGTTAAAGCAGCTGTGAAAAATCCAGCATTTCAACATTACTCGTTGTTATGAAGATTGGCCCTCTAAAGGAAGAGAACAGCGGACTTGCCCTGCCATCGTTATTTTAAGGAGAGAGCCACAGTATTCTGGAGGTTTCTGAGAAAAATGGAAGACTTCTAGAAGACTGCTCTTTCTGCGTCATTTCAGAGGCGGCTGCTGCTCCTTCTGTTCTTCTTCAGACTGAAGACGTGTCAGAACGTAAAGGATAACTTGATAGCAGAAAATATACTGATCCTACCGCAAAATAAAAAAGAGAGAAGACTTCAATATATGATGTAACTACTGTATATCGCCACACCATGATTGCAAGTGACGTCTAAGGAGTTTTGAAATAATGGAAATTTATTTTAGTTTATGATGAGTACAGCAAGATACAGAATTGAGTATAGAAAAAAGCCATAAAAATAGTGCAGCTGTGTATGTGAGCGAGCACAGATGCTGAGCTGAGAGTGAAGAATGTAAGAGCACTTTCTAAACCCTAATCACTCTGTGGCATCCTGGTGTGGCACTGCAGGATAAGTACTCAACCACAAGGTCACTTTGAACTTCAAGGTCAGCAGTTCAAACTCACCAGTCACTCCTCGGAAACCCAATAAAGGGTTGCTATGAACCGGAACTGACTTGATAGTACTTAACAAGGCACTCTTTGGGATCAGGAATACATGTGATCCTTCTTGCTCAGCTGTGTTTTAACTTTTCCACATGTTCATCCTTAGACTTTCTCTTACACCACTTAAATCCATCAGCAAACTCACTTCCCACAGTGCTCTCTTCTCATTGGATCCACAGCTACCACTCTGGTCTGGACAATTGCTGCTTGCCATCTACTGGGCTTCCCTGCTTCCAGCCTTGTTCGTTCTCCTCAAATCAGGTTTCATTTGAACAGAACAGCCAGAGGTAGCCTTTAGAATGTGCCAGTTGCCACCATTCCCTGACTATCCTGCGATGGCGTCCACTTCACCAAACTGTGGCCCTTCCCTCCTGCCTGCCCTCCTCTCCACCCTAGCTCCAGCCCAGCCACACTGGCCTTGATCATTCTGTTTTTTAGGATCTGAAGGCTTTTATTTCTTTGACTAGTCCACTTCACCAGTTCCCTGACCACTGGTTGCATCAGCAACCCCCACTCCCTAGCAACTTCTATAGGTTCAATCACGGCTTGCACGCAAACTCCGACATGTGGCTCATGTAGTCAAGGTGCTCGCGGAGGTCCCAGTTGGCCTGCTCATGCTTGCACTTGAGTAGCCAGATGGGGTAGTGGGTGCTGGAGTCTTGCTGCGGCAGTACCAGCTGGGCGGGGTTCATCTGCTGCTGTGTGGCCACCATCCCTGTAGCTGGGCGGAGACATAGGCACCCGCAGGGTCCAGTTCCCCAGTATCGGCCGACCAGGAAAGCCCATGGTTGATGCCACTGCAGTTCCCGCTGCAGGCGAGTCCCCTCGCTCTAACCTGGCCTAGACCATTGTTGAGCACACACAAAACACTCTCACGTGGACTTCCATGCACATGTCCCATTCGGCCTAGAAACTCCTTCCCAGTTATCTGATGACTCCTTTCCTCACAGCTTTGCTTAAGTGTGACTCTTTCTCAATGGCACCACCCTATTTCAAATGATAGTACCCCGAACCTGCCATGACTATTCCCTTGGACCCTACTCTAAGGCACTTTCAAAGAGTCTATGGAATCTGCTCATTTAATGTGTCTAATATCTGTCTTTTTCATTACCACCTTGATAGCATATAAGTTCTCTCTGTTTTTATTCACTGATGTGCTCTAAGTACCTAGAAGAGTGCCTGGCACCAGGTAGACATTCCATAAATACCTGTTGAATGAACAAATGAATGAATGTGAGATGTGTGTCTTGTTGCTGTCAGGTGCTGTGGAGTTAGTTCCTGTGGAGTTAGTTCCTGTGGAGTTAGTTCCGAGTATAGCGTTTCTAAGGTGGTAAATCTTTGCAGGGTGTCTGGGGCTTCAACCAAATGACCTTGTGGCTCGCAGTCCACTGCTTATGGTACAAAGTCACTAAGCTCCCAAATATGTCTAAAGAACTATTTATATAGAGATCAATGTGTTTTTCTTTACCTCAAAAAAGGGAGCTTATATCAGCTTAATATTTAGGGGACTTAATTAGAATAGAAATATATGAAGGGAGTGTAAGCAAATACTAACTTTTGAGATGGTAAAGTTTTATATTCTCCAAGAGACAGAGAACTATGAATATATGGATGTGTGGCAATAGTTTTCATATCCTTCCCTGCCCCCCAACACATACCATCAGAATTACTTAATGAAGACAGATACTCAAAGTAATATGGAAACAATTCTATAAGTCAGCAGATGACATAACCCATGGTTTGGTTTCAGGTAAGAGATATAAACTCCCTTGTGGGGAGATTGCAGGATCAGGCAGTGTTCCATTCGGTTGCACACTGGATCTCTTGGAGTTAGAACGAACTCAGTGGCACCTTAACAACAGCCTTCCCGACAACAATCTCTCTCAGAGTATCTTCTCCAAGCTAAGCAATTCCAGACTGCCTTCTACTTAACACTGCCGAATTTTTATGTGAGTTTTAACTGCCAACCTTTAGGTTGCTTATTGAGTGTAAACCATTTTTGCCCCCTAGAACACACTGTTTGACTGGAAATGCAGAAAGAATGATGTGGTAATTAATACGTATTGATTACATGTTAAAATGTACCATCCCTTCATCTCGGCATTCAATATTCCAACAATGATCTGTTATCTATTCAGTGCAGATAATAATTTTCTTATTTAAAAAAAAAATCAAGATACTTTAAAAAGACAGTCTACCTACACCTGTGGAAGCAGTAGCTCAAAAGAGAGAATAAGTCCTTACAGCAAGAATCATTCCCACCCCCTCCACACATAGAGTAGACAGGGATGGGCAACTTGGACATTGGTTACACAAAATGGGGGGTGGGGGGCTACAAAGGCAACAAGTGACTGGCTTACAAGCTTTCAAGAGGGAACCTAGACCCAGAGGGCCTGGAGGAAGGTAGAATCTCCAGTGAGTAGTATTCAATCTGACTAGGCGGGGCTGATGCATGAAATGCAGACTGGTCTCTGGTGATACAATAGTGAATAATTGTTATTAGGACTGACTGTGAGGGTTGGAAGTGTAAAGGTGGATGTTTTATAGCAAGGAGGGGAGTGATTGACTTTTCAGTCTAGGAGCAGAGGTCCCTAGGACCATCAAGGGAGGAGAGCAGAGAGTGGGACCCTACCCAGAGAAGCTTTGATGCCTGAAATGGAGCCAGAGATGATGATGTGGAGCTATGGAGCAGCTGGAGACTCTAGACCCAGAGAGGGAGAGCGACTGTGTGCTGAAGACTTGCGGGGCACGGGGGAAGGATTGCATGGAGGGGATTGTAACCATGGCAATGAGACGATATACGACAGAATGAATATAAAACTAATGTTCTCCCATGTAAACTATCACATAATTCACAATAAAACATTTAAGAAAAAAAAAAAAAAGATAGTCTAGAATAGTTTAATTTTTTCCTGAATTAGCCTTTATACTCAAGAAAAAAAACAAAAGGCCACTCACTGTAAAAAATAATGATTTGTTTTATGCTATATATAAAATAGGAATCATCGAAAGAGGAAAAATAACTTAACAGAAACTTTTAAATCACTAAAATTTTGAAGTAAAATCTTCATTACAAGACATCAATCAAAACTCACCTCAGTTTGAACCATTCCATGTCTTTGCAGTCGCATGCAGCGCACTAGATCAGAGATGTCAAACTGCCAAAGTAAACACAATGTATATTACATGCAAAATGTAATCAAATTTGAACCCCAAAGGGCTTGTGGAGAATTTTGTACTCCACTTTACTTTTCTGACTAGTAGCTTTGAGAAATTGTCTTGGATAAAATGAGTTGAACTAACTTTAGCATTGTTTTGTATATCTATGATGTTTTGAAGTTATCAAAAAATGTTTTTCTATTTGAAAATCCTCAACGGAAATTCTCTTACCTCTGAAAGTTGACTAATTTATATCATCACAAATTTATAGAACAAAACAAAAACCATTTCTTTCCTACATTATGCTCTATAGAAAACAAGTCCTAATCTTTAATATTAGCTGATATTTAACAGTTCAAAATAATGGACAAACAGACCATTTGGTTTTGTACTACTTAAATACTAGAGTGGTGGTGGTGGTGGTGATGTGCCGTGGAATCGGTTCTGACTCATAGCGACCCTATACAGGGTTTCTAAAGCTGTAAATCTTTACGGGATCAGAAAGCCTCATCTTTTTCCTGCAGAACAGCTGGTAGTTTCAAACTGCTGACCTTGTGGTTCACAGCCCGATTTGTAACCACTACGCTACCAGAGCTCCTTAAATATTACAGTAGATTATTATAAAAACATAGTATTATATAATACAGAATACAGGAGCAAGATAGAACAGTTTTGAACTAAAATTCTTTAAGAGATAATAATTTTAATTATATCTTTTTAATTATATACTATACAAAGTGTGGTGCTGTAGGATAAGCACTGGACTGCTAACCGGAAGGTTGGTGGTCCAAATGCACCAGCCACTCCTTGGAAATCTTATATACAGGGACACTATGAGTCAGAACCAACTTGACGGCATTTAACCAACAACATACATGGTAAGACATTCCAGCACAGTGATGGTGGTGGTTGTGTGCTGGCGAGTTGGTTCCAACTCATAGCGACCCTGTATCAGGTTTCTGAATTGCTGAACTTTTGATCAGCAGCCCAACTTGTAACCCACTACACTGCCAGAACTCTTTAGTATAATGTTGTTGCACTATCAAGTCAGTTCTGACTCATAGCCAGCCTTCATAGGGTTTCCAAGGAACGGCTGCTGAGCTTGTGATTCAAACCGACCTTGCAGTCCAGCGCATTAACTCACAGCACCAGACCAGGACTCATTTAGTATAATAAGCAAGGTTTATACTAATTTAGGTTCAATAGTAATATTATATACAACAAAAGGGAGGTTGACAGAGAAAACATGAAGGCAGCCAGAGGAAACACAGGGAGGAATGCAAGAGTTCAAATGAACAGAGGTAAATACTGTTAACTGATGGTACATGGAGGGGATTGTAGTCACTGTAATGAAGCAAAGTATATGATTTGTTGAATGTAAAACTGATGATTTGCTTTGTAAACCTTTATTCAATATACTGTAAAAAGTTATAAGAAAAGTAACTTTGTTTATACAGTAAAAAAACATTTGAGAGCAACTATTTAGAGATAGACTATTTAATGTTTCGTTATGGGCTAAACACTGGACCACAGGTTGGTTTGAACCACAAGGTTCATCTCAGAATGCTCTCACCAGCTGCATCTCAGAAACTGTATTTAGGGCTGCCATGTGTCAGAACCAGCTTGATGGCACTTAACAACAAATAACAAAGTACACATCTCCCACCTGTTGGTAGTTAAAAAAAGCAAACAAAAAACCTAGCATTTCACTTAAAAAATAGTTCTTTATTGCTTCACTATTTCTAGCCCTAAAAGAATTATAACAATACTGGCTTTGTTGTTGTTGTTATGTGCCATGGAGTCAGTTCCGACTCACAGGGACCCTGTACAGGGTTTTCGAGGCTGTAAATCTTTACAGGAGCAGAAAGCCTCATCTTTCTCCCACGGAACAGCTGGTAGTTTTGAACAGCCAGCAGCCTGATTCATAACCACTACGCTACCAAAGCTCCTGGCTTTAGGAAAGCTTAAAGACTATAAAGGTTAAAATGCAATACTGGTTAAGGGACTTTTGAACGCTCTTTAAAAAAAAGTATAATACATATAAATTTGAAGTATTACTTTTTCTTTATTACACTCTGCGAGGTTTTAAATAGCAATCCTATATTGTAGGGCAATTAAGGTATTCATTGTATTTGTTGTTAAGTACTCATAGCAAGCACAGGGTTTCTGAGGAGCAGCTTGTGCTTTTGAACTGCCGACCTTGTTGTCAGCAGTCTACTGCTTATCCTACAGAGCCACATCAGGACTCCTGGTAAATACAAAATACTCAAGATCCGAACACATTATTAAAAAACTGGATTGCATCATTATTTCTGGTCAAATGCTTGTATAGCATTTACTCACTTCAAGATCTTGACTGATTAATTCTAGAACCACATCTATGCATATCAGGGTCCCTGAACGTCCAATGCCAGCACTGCAGTGAGTGATGATTGGGCCTGAGTTGTGAATGTGTCTCATATAAGAGATAAAAGTGAGCAGGTCATCTGGCTGGGAAGGCGTATCGTGGTCAGGCCAGGCAGTAAAATTCAGGTGAGAAATATGTCGTATCTCTCCCGTCTGAAACGATACAACAGAACGAGTAGATAAAGGCTTACTGTGTTGTTCACATATAATTAGTTCTTCATTTGATTTTCAAATTCTGACTTTATTTTGAAAGTGCAGGAGATAAGAAAAGCCCCATTAAGCAACACATACATATAGGAACTTTAACCAAGAAGGCTACTAGATTCACATTTTAAATAGTGATAAAAAACTCCATTTTGGAAACCCTGAAAACAAACCAGAAATTGATAAAGGAAGCGGTGATCTCAATTCAAATATTATTCTATCCCAGATAAAAGCCAAAATCATTGCAATGGCCTTTGAGTATTCCAACATCAGTCCTGTTGTATACACCCCCCCTTTTCTCTGGCCACTTCACTCCAGCTACAATGACTGGTTTGAGGTCTTGTAAATGCACTGGGCACACTTCAATCTCAGAGCTTATGCACGTCCCCCCCCCCCCCCCCACACACACACCCACTGAAATGTTTTCCTTCAGATATTCCTCTTCAATGCCTTCAGGATTTAAATCCACCCCCACCAAATTCTACCTTCTCAGGCCTATTTAAAATGATGATATGCCTCCCACTCTTCTCTAACCAATTGTCTAATGTCAACACCAGTGTCTCCTTATTTGAAGGTTAAGCTCCACAAGGTCAGGAATTTCATTTGTGTTGTTAAGTGTCCCTTGAGCATATAATGACCTAAGCTCTATGAACATACGGTGATTAAATGGATAAAATTATGTGAGGAAGACTGAACAATTGTGCTCGCCTAGGTATTGAATAGGACGTGTAAATGAATAAGGAGGCACCATCTTTAATTCTTAGTAAAATCATATCAAAAACCATGATTCTAGAAGAATTAACTCAGTCACTCTTCATGTTTAATTAAGCTACAGGAAACACATTATTCACACCCCTTTAGAATTTCTGAAAGGTTACTGGGAGAGGGGGTTTGGAATTAGGAGATAGTCACAGCTTTATTTAAGGTATGCTCACTAATCTAATTCAAGGTGAATTTATTCAGTGATTAGGTAACTAAGACCTATATGAATGAGAACTATTTATGCTATAATTGTCCATGTATTTCCAAGTATGATACTAAGTTGCTCTTAAAAGGGAGTATCTTCTACTTAGAAATCGTTACTGACAGCTTTAGTGTATCTACTTAGATGGCAGACCTTAAGCAAGTTGTCTGCTATAGCTTCGGGACATTTGTGCTATCAGTAAGTAAAAGGTGATGGACAATCACATCTAAAGTTTCATTTTCATTTTAGTACAGTATATACTGGAGGAAACCTTTTGGGAGAATTCATAAAGGACGGGGGTGTTTACATTTAATATTTACACTAGATTAAACAAACAAACAACAAAAAAAAGTGACATTAGTTCTATTGAAATGGCTTTTGTCTAGAAATCAATTGATGAAAACGTGGAAAGAGTCCAGGCCTGACTTCCAGTTAGGAGATAAGCCTTAGTAAACAGAAAAATGTGATTCACTTACCTGAATATCTTCTAGGGTCATGGCCCTCACGACAAATCCCTTCAGCTGCTGCATTCTTACAAGAGCCAGGCGCAGCTTGTCACTGACCATTGTTGTTTTGCCCAGGATGTTAGGCCAATAGCGCTGACATTTGATTTTTTCTCCTTCTACTTCCTGGGTCATCATGGCTATCACTGAGGATTTTTGTTCCCAAATCATCTGCCAGAAGTCTCCAACAGTTGTTGGGAGAGGTCCTTGGCAGGCAATGTAAACAAACTCTTCTTTCCCCACTGGGATCTTAATGAAGCTGGCATTGATATACCCACCTTCAACACCAAGAGGCACTCTTGTAGCATCATCTGTGAATTCCCCACCATAAAAGAGTCATCAGTATCATGTATGTTTAAACAAAAGTCTTATATATAACCTAAGTCAAAGATAACCAGAAATTCCTTTTGACTAGAGATAAGATTACAAACACATTTTCACAGAGGTATGCTTTCAACCTGTGGTGTAGCCCAATTATTTTATATTTATTCATTTCACTTGTGTTACAACTAAGATCTCAGCTTAGTGAGCTTCTAACATTTGGAATTTGATACTTATTATTTAGGCATTTAATTGTAGAAATTAAAATTAGTAATTTAATTTAGAACCTTTGGCTAATTAGAGAAACAAACTAAAAGTATGCTATTTCTTCTCCATCGTTTTAATGACAATAAAAAGAGTACTAAAAGACAATGCCAAAAGTCTTTCTGTAGAGCACAAATGGTAGCTCACACTAGTCTACAGGTATGTAAGGACTTGGTCTAGGTCTGCTGCTGTTGTTAGTGGTCAAGTCAGTGCTAACTCACAGCAATGCTGTATCGGGCTTCCAAAGAGTGGCTGGTGGGTTTGAACTGACAATCTGTGGTTAGTAGTTCAGTGCTTATCCTACGCCCAGGACTCCTTTGTCTATGTCTCATTCTAGTCAAATTTAATTTTTCAATAACTTTCCCAGTGGGAAAAAACAAAACAAAACATCTTTTACTGAGGATATTTAGTTAATGGTTTATCCAGGAAAATAAATCTTTATATATTTGTCTGAATCAGCTTTACAATATACGTTAGAAGTGATGTCTAGTTCAAATATTTATACATTTGTAATGGTTAGGGTTTTGTGTCAACTAGCCTAAGTCATGATTTCCAGAGCTTTAGCAACTGAGATGTGCTTATTCCCATGGTGATGAAACCTAATATGGATATGATTCATTCTAGGATGAGTGGCTATGAGTAGCCTATCAATTGAAGAGAAGCTTCCTTGGGGTTTAGCCTGCTCTCAATATAATGAACATAGAGTAGGAACTCTCTCTCTCTTCTGCTGGGGACCTGGGATTTTGCAATTGTAAGCTCTTTCCTTGATAATAAACTTCTTTCTCTCTCTATTACACATACGTGTTTCACTGGTTTTGCATCTCTAGAAAACCTGGCCTAAGACAACAATAAACAGGCAATTGTTGTGATTATCAAATTAAAAATTTTAAAGTTTCAAAATCCTCCATTACCTGCCCTTCATTGCTTGTTTTCTTTCATGTCTTGAATCAAACTGGTTATTTTGTTCATAGAAGCTAATCTACTCATTAGTTTGGAATTTAGGGTTTTTCCCACACTGACACTCAGATAATGGTGTGGCTATTACTTTTGGCATTAGTGTTATTCCTGCACTGGACTTCAAGGTCAGTTTGAACCACAGTGTTGACTGTTCAAGCTCACCAGTCACTCCCTGGAAACCCTATATAGGGTTGCTATGAGTTGGAACTGACTTTACAGCACTTAACAACAACAACAACAGCAAACGCCATTCCAACCCATGGTCTATTCCATTTCTAAAATGCAGAGATTCACTTGTCACTTCCCAAAATGAAATTTGTGTCTTCCTTGTTGAATAAAATTCAACTGCATTTAAAAATTTTAACCCTTATTGATTAAAATTCAACTGCATTCTTTTTCATTCCCTCCGAGCCCCCTTTTGGTTTATGACTTCATGAAAATCAGGGTCAGTGTGCCATGCTGCAATCCTATGTGTTACTGTATATAAATGGGGCTGGTAATTACTATAAGAAGTTGTCCAGTTAGTATTTGGTTATACATATATATTCATAACATTATACTGGTAATTGGTGTCTATGAATAAAACATGGGAAAAAATAATTATTGTTATTTCCTTCTGGTATCTGAAATGATTAAAAGTATAATGCATTCTGGTAGTATCATTGTTCCCATATTCAGGTGGGTACTATAGACATTTTTCTAAACTTAAAAATGTGTGAAATAAATTGACATTGTGACATGAGTCTTAAAAGTTACACACAGAGAAGGCAGTTCTTATTTTTAAGACTTTAAAATGAGTGATTTAGCAATGCTGATTAAATACTATCCTAATAAAATTCAGGAATGTCTGAAAAAATATTTAAGATTCTTCTGATTTTCAGAATGAATAAATAATTTAAAAGGGACATAACACTGTGTACTTGTTACTGAACAAACAAAATTTATTACTAAATTCACACTGACTCTGAGTAGGTGTGTATGTGTATGTGTTTATGTGTGAAAGCTAGGGGAAATTAGCATAAAGGTTTTAAGTTAATTCAAACTGCATATACATATGTGAATATTGAGCACCAAGGCGCTCTGGTAGTGTAGTGGATTATGAACTGGACTGCTAACCACAAGGTCAGCTGTTTGAATCTACCAGTATATCCATGGGAGAAAGATGAGGCTTTCTCCTCCCATAAAGATTTCCAGCCTCAGAAGCCCTACACAGGGCTGCCAGAATAGGGACCAACTCGAGGGCACACAGCCACCACCACCATACTGAGCACCAGCCACTCCATAGAAACCCTACACAGGGTGCTATAAATCAGGACTGACTTTATGGCACTGTTGTTGTTGTTATGTGCCGTGGAGTCGGTTCCGACTCATAGCGACCCTGTACAGGGTTTCCGAGGCTGTAAATCTTAATGGGAGCAGAAAGCAATAACATATTGAACAGTCATTTAGCTGGAAGTCACATTGGAACTTACAGGGAAGAATATTTTTGTATCTGTTCTTCCTTCTATTTTCCTTAGTTTGCCCAATTAGACACTGATCCAAAGGCTTTAATTCTTGAAGATTCTGTAAGCAAAAATGGAAATAAATGTAAATTTGTTGAGATAAACAATGATTCAATAATAATTACAAATGCTTTTAATGTGCAGGGAGCAAGGTAAAATAAGCCTCAATTCCAATACTGACTTGGTAAACCAGTTGTTAAAAAAGATTGTTATGAACAGCTTTGATTTATGTATTGAGATCAACTAACTTTCTGAAATAGCACTCTGTATATTAATTTTTGTTTTAATATTTTATATTTCAGTGAAACCTTACACAGCAAATTAGGTTCCCATTTGACATTAGCTATAATCCTAGTGTGGTGCTATAGGATAAACAATGGACTGATAACTGCAAAGTTGGCAGTTCAAAACCACCAGCTGCTCCTAGGAAACCATATACAGGGTCACCCTGAATCAGAATGATACTTAACAAGAACACCACCATATTTTTCACAATGTGCCAACATTCTCTTTAACTGCCTTCAGGTTCTCCATTTCCAGTGCTCTAATTTCTTTGCACCCTTCTCATCTTTGCTGTAGAATGATTTTTGATCTTTTGGTCTCATATAGTGGTTTTTTTAAATGAAGCACTATACTCACAGGTAGTATCTTTTCATTTGTATGCTAATCTTTTGCTAAAAAGATCATTTTGGTTCAGGGTTCAAAGAGTAAATCAGGGTGATAGTCTCAGGAACACCTCTACTTGGCTAGTCCACTGACTCTGGACTTTTGAAGAATTTGAGTCCTGTCCTGAGGTTTTCTCCCTTTCTATTGTGGTCCTGAAGAGCTGAACAGAAAATTTCAAAGATCAGCTAGAGAAGATAAAACCAAATACTATAATAAAATATGCAAAGATTTAGAATGAGAAAACCAAAAAGGAAGAACACGGTCAGCATTTCTCTGGCTTGGGGAACTGAAGAAAAAATTCAAGCCTTGACTTTCGTTATTGAAAGATTCTCTGGGTAAACTATTGAATGATGCAGACTGCATCAAGAAAAGATGGAAGGAATACACAGAGTCATTGTATCAAAAGGAAATGGTTAATGTTCAACCATTTCAAGAGGTACCATATGAACAAGAGCAAACGATACTCAGGTAGGAAGTCCAAAGAGCATTGATGGAATTGACAAAGAACAAGGCACCAGGAATTGATGGAATAAAACTTGAAATCTTTCAAGAAAGTGAGGCGGCACAAGAGGCACTCACTCATCTCTGCCAAGAAATTTGGAAGACAACTATCTGGCTGACTGATTGGAAGAGATCCATATTTGTGCCCATTCCAAGAGAGGTGACCCAACAGAATGCGGAAATCATCGGACAATCTTCTTGATATCTCAATTGAGTAAAGGTAATACAGAAACAGCTACAATCATACATTGACAGAGAACTTCCAGAGGTTCAAGCTGGATTCAGAAGAGGCCATGGAATGAGAGATATCATTGCTGATGTCTGGTGGATCTTGGCTGAAAGCAGAGAATATCAGAAAGATGTTTACCTGTGCTTTATTGACTACGCAAAGGCTTTCGATTGTGTGGATCATGACATGCTATGGACAACATTGAGAAGTATGAGTATTCCAGAACACTTAATTGTACTTCTGAGAAATCTGTACCTGGACCAAGAGTGGTTGTTCGAACAGAGCATGGGAACACTGAATGTTTTAAAATTGGGAAAAGTGTGTGACAAGGTTGTGTTCTTTCACCATACTTATTCAACCTGTATGCTGAGCAAATAATCCGAGAAGCTGGATTCTATGAAGAAAAGCGTGGCATCAGGATTGGAGGAAGACTCGTTAACAAACTTGCTTGCTGAAAGTGAAGAGGACTTAAAAAATTTACTGATGAAGATCAAGGAACACAGCCTTCGGTATGGATTGCATCTCAATGTCAAGAAAACAAAAATCCTCACCACTGGACCAATAAACAACATTCTTATCAACGGAGAAAAGATTGAAGTTGTCAAGGACTTCATTCTTCTTGGATCAACTATCAACACTAACGGAAGCAGCTGTCAAGAGATCAGACGATGTATTGCATTGGGCAAATCTGCTGCACAGGAGCTTTTTAAAGTGTTAAGAGCAGAGATGTAAGCTTGAGGACTAAGGTGCGCCTGACCCAAGCCATGGTATTTTCAATAACCTCATATGGATGTGAAAGCTGGATGGTGAATAAGGAACATCATAGAAGAATTGATGCCTTTGAGTTGTGGTGTTGGAGGAGAACACTAAAAGTGCCATGGATTGCCAAACGAATCAATAGATCTGTTTTGGAAGAAGTGCAGCCAGAGTGCTCCTTGGAGGCCAGGATGGCTAAGCTTCGTCTCTCATGCTTTGGACATATTGTCAGGAGGAAGCAGTCGCTGGAAAAGGATGTCATGCTGGGTAAGATGGAGGGTCAGAGAAAAAGGAAGACCCCCAATGAGATGGATCGGCCAGGTGGCATCATTGATAGCATCGAGTGTGGCGGCAGTAGTGAGGTTGGCCCAGGATCGGACATTGTTTCGTTCTGCTGTGCATGGGGTTGCTATGAGTCGGTTCCTACTCGATGGCACCTGACAACAACGACAAATTTTGGTCCTGGATCAGAATGATTCATTGTGGTAGCTAGAAACCATCTAGTCTTCTGGGCTCACATAGGCAATTAGTTCTATAGACTAGTTTTGTCTCTTAGTCTTGGGTTTTCTTTGGCTCCTGACTAGTAGAGATCAATAGTTGTATCTTAAATGTCTGCTTAAAAGCTTTTAAGGCCCCAGATACTACTCACCATATTGGGATCACAATATACATGTTATTAACCATATTCTGCCAGTAACTGAGCTGAGCTTTCTCATGAGACTAAGGTCTTACATCTTGAAAGTCCGAAAATCTATCTTGCAAGGTTATTTGGTTATGTTTGAAAAGTATCTGTAACTGAGTATTCTGTGAATATATGCATGCATAGCCATATCTTTCTGTGCATACATATGAATACACTTGTAGCTACTTACCTTTACCTACATACATATATGTGACTAGACATTTGTGTTTTCATTATTGCTGGTGTTGTTGTAAATTATACCTCATACTCTGTAGCACAATCATTTTCTCTTGTTTGATTCTTTGCGGCGTTGCTTACTTTGACCAAGTTATGCACATTATATCCATTATAAACTCAGTGCTACTTTGTGGATATTAATTTTTAATTTCAATTAAGAATATCTAAAATTGTATTTTAGATTTTTTAATTGAAATTAATTAAAAATTTAAATACAACTTATGAAACAACTTTGGTTGTTAAAAAAAAAAAAGGAATTACACAAAGACATGAATTCTGGTGGACATGGTTCAAGGGGACTTCAGAGGTACTAAAACCCAAAACTGAAACAAACCATGGTTACTGAGTTGATTCTACTTCACAGTGACCCTATATAGGGTTCCACAGACTAAATCTTCTTTGGGAGTGGACAGCCTCATCTTTCGTTCATGAAATAGGTGGTGTGCTTTGAAATGTTTACCTTGTGGTTAGTAGTCTGATGCATAACCCATTATGCCACCAGGCTCCTGTTGCTATTTTCGAGTTGGTTCTGGCTCATAGTGACTCTGTATAGGGTTTCTGAGGAGCAGCTGGTGAGTTTGAACCGCTGACCCTGTGGTTCAAACTGACCTTGCAGTCCAGAGTATTATCCTGCACCACCTGGTAGCTCAGTGGTTATGAATCAGGCTGCTAACCGCAGGGTCAGCAGTTCAGGGTCAGCTGCTCTGTAAGAGACAGGTGAGGCTTTCTGCTCTCGTAAAGATTTACAGCCTTAGAAACTCTGTACAGGGTTGCTCTGAGTCATAACAGACTCCACGGCACATAACAACAACAACCATACTAGGGCTCTACCTTAGATTACCACAAACCTCCCTATACTAAATATAAGGAATATATAAATAAAGGAGCTCTGGTAGTGTAGTGGTTATGAATCGGGCTGCTAACCTCCAGGTCAGCAGTTCGAAACTACTAGTCATTGCATGGGAGAAAGATGAGGCTTTCTGCTCACATAAAGATTTATAGCCTCGGAAACCCTGTACAGGGTCACTATGAGTTGGAACTGACTCCATGGTACTGAACAACAACATACTAAAGTCCTAGGTGCTTTAGTATATATTCTTGTGCTAATTAAATCCAGATTTATCCCCCACTCTATAGAGGTTTTGTTGTGTCACTATAGGGTAAATACTGAACTGCAAGATTGGTTTGAACCACAAGGTCGTCGCTTCAAACTCACCAGCTGCTCCTCGGAAACCCTGAACAGGGTCACTATGGGTTGGAATCTACTTGACGGCACTTAACAACAACACAGATGGTGGAAGTGAGGTTTACAAAGGTTAAAGAAAGAACTTTGGCTCAAAGTAATGAACCAGAATAGAATTTCTTGGCAGTTGATATAAGAACATTTCAGATTGAGGAGCCATATTAGCAAAGGCATGAAGGCTTTCTCTATATCTCTCTACAGGGTGCTTTCCTGAGACAGGCAGGAAGACTTCTCCAAGAGAGCTAAATGAAGAGAAGAAAAGCATGACTTCTAAGACTGGCTTCACTGTGCTGTTCAAATGCATCAATATGCTTTCTATGCTATTTTTATCTCTGGCTATTAAAAACATTTTTGTAATCAAAACACTTAAAAATGAAAAACACAGCAGAAACATGTTTAGCAGCCATCTATGACTTATAGGATAACCATGCTTGACTGCAGGACCTAGGCAGGGCAGGCATCATAGTCTCATAGAGGACCGTGTCTACAAGAGCACCTCACTTGATATTATGATGTTCTGTGGTAAGAGTGTTAAGGTCAGACAGTACTATGTTTTGAAGTTAAATATTTCTCACTTTTAATTCACTCATTCACTCAACTCACTTAACTAATCTATACTGAATGGAGTGCTGGTTTGGCACTGTAGACAAGCATTGGACTACAAAGCACATGGTTGGCAGTTTATTCTTATCAGCTGCTCACTGGAAACCCTATACAGGGTTCCTATGACTGGAACCAATTCAATGGCACTTACAACACTATATTCAAGGCATTACAATAAATGCTGAGAATACAGGGGTGTGTAAGAAAATAAGATCCTGCCTCTCCTGGGGCTTACAGTCTATTGGGGGAGAGAGGCAATACAGAAGAAAATATCACAAATACTGTGATCAATATTTTGAAGAAATTACTTTGTTGCAATAGTGAAAAGCAAAGGAGGTCTATACAGGTAAAGATTGTGATGACAGGTCTCTGAGGTAGTGACATTTAAAACTGAGACCTCAAAAAGGAATCATTTCTGCTAATGGAGAACTGGAAAGAAAATTATTACTAACACCTGTGAGCTTTGTTGCTGTTGTTAGGTGCCGTGGAGTCGGTTCCGACCCATAGCGACCCTGTACAGGGTTTCCGAGGCTGTACGTCTTTACGGGAGCAGAAAGCCTGGTCTTTCTTCTGCGGAGCAGCTGGTAGTTTTGAACTGCTGATCATGAGATTAGCAGCCCGATTAGTAACCACTATGCTAGTGAGCTTTAGTTTCCAAATTTATATACTTGGAAAAATCGTAATTTGAGGATCAAATGTAAAACTAGCACATAGTAGACGGGAATTTTGGCAATGATTGTGGGTGATGGTAATTCACATCACTGTTTGTACACAGGAAAACTAGTGACCTGGCAAACGTTGGGTTATATACATCCTGTTGGGCAATGGACTCATCTTGGTCTTCCATCTGTCTTCAGTTTCTGAAAATAGTTCTTGGAATTCCTGACCATTCAAAGTGCTCTTTGTCTTTCTGAAACAGCCAGGCAATACTTAAACATGTGTAAATGAGCTGGGAGTCCTCAACACATCACCTTGGCAACAGGCCTCAGGGACAGAGGGGCCCAAGAAGAGGCCTGGGGACTAACTGTCTCAAAGGCCTGATTGTTGTGGTAATAGATTAAAAGAGGTTTCTTGGCTGGTGCTAAGATGTCTGACTCCCCTCCTAGGGTGGTCACATAAGAAAATTTTACACTATGTTCTCTGTAGCACTTCACTTTAGGCATGGTGGTATAAAAATGGTTGGAGGAGGAAGAGGTTTGGCCATCCCTCGGCTATGGCACTATAGGATAAACACTGGACTGCTAACAAGAAGTTTGGTGGTTCTAACTTACCAGCTGCTCCTTAGAAACCCTATACTGGGTCACTATGAGTTAGAACCAACTTGACAGCACCCAAAATAACATCAACAACAAAGGCTACCTGGCCAGGGGATCCTTGCATAAAGAGGCTTTTGAGTCCCTCATCCAGGGTACATGTAGAAGAGTTGTTATTTCCAACTGTACAACCTTTTTGTGTAGTGATGGTGGTTATGTGCCTTGGAGTTGGTTCCGAAACACAGGGTTTCCTAGGCTGTAAATCTTTATGGGAGCAGAAAGCTTCATCTTTCTCCTGTGGAACAGCTGGCAGTTTTGAATTGCTGACCTTGAGGTTAGGAGAATGACTAGTAACCACTGTTGTTGTTGTTGTTGTCAGGTGCCATTGAGTCAGAACCGACTCATAGCAACCCCATGCACTGCAGAATGAAACAATGTCCGATCCTGGGCCAACCTCACTACCATTGCCACACTTGATGCCATCAATGATGTCACCTGGCTGATCCATCTCGTTGGGGGTCTTCCTTTTTTTCTCTGACTCTCCATCTTACCCAGCATTACATCCTTTTCCAGCGACTGTTCCCTCCTCACAATATGTCCAAAGTATGAGAGACGAAGCTTAGCCATCCTGGCCTCCAAGGAGCACTCTGGCTGCACTTCTTCCAAAACAGATCTATTGGTTCTTTTGGCAGTCCATGGCACTTTTAGTATTCTCCTCCAACTACACTATCAGAATAGGTGGGAGCAAGTAAAAAATGGATTCCCATTTGTTCTGGTATGCTGTCTGCTTCTGTTTTCTAATAGAAGCTACTTTCCACATGCTAATGCCCTGAGAATGTGTACAGGTTCTGGTCAGAAGGTTCATGGAGGAATCAGCATCAGTCATTGATCCCGTTTTCTAATGGCCTCCTGGTTATTTAGGAATCTGGGATGGCCTGTGTGTATCGTGCATATATATCTACAACAACAACAAGAGCTAGTTTGCTCCCTCTCAGTGGCTATAAAAAGCTCAAGAAGTGGGCTAGCAAGCAAAGGGTTTGAGGGAGGGAAGCAAGGCAGATTCATAAACCACAGTGCTGCTTGTGTTTCTGTTTTGCCTAGTGGCAAGTATGGAACTATAAGTAAGACCAAAGGAGCAAGAATTGTATACCATTGCTGCTTTGTATATGTGTTAAATTAGAAACTGCTGTTTTCTTGTTGATTTTTTTCAAAATTTTTATTGTGAATTGAGTGAAGGTTTACAGAGCACATCAGTTTTTCATTCAACAATTCAAATGTGAAATTACTGTTAATGATTAGCCATATCTATAGTGCATAATTAATTGATGAAACTTAAGGTTTTGAATTTAATTTTATTTTTTAATTCTTTATTTCTACATATGAGGTAGAGAAACTAACCTTCAAGTTCTATGTAATTTAAGACTTCCCTTTAAATAAATATTAGGATTCCAATTAGAAAAATTAATTTATTACTATATATGATAAGATGAGCTTTCATAGTTGGAAATACGTTAACTACAAGTAGAATTGGAAAGGTTACAGACATTGTCAAAAATTTTATAATTTCTACTAACCTTGAGGCTAGTAGAGGTACACTTTCTTTACAAATCATTGAATAGATGTTAGCAAATAATCACTGCCAAACACTACTTACCTCTAGCTCCTTAGAAGGAATTCCTTGATCTAGTAAGCCCCGCAACATTCGAATAACTGATTTCAACCTGGCACCAGTGTATTGACCCGAAGGAAGCACTTTGATGATGGGGAGGGCAGCAAGTTCTTCATTTGTCAGAAAAGGAGGATCTAACAAGAGAGAGAGAGAGAAAAAAAAAAAAGTTTCCAGAATTCATTTAGCTTATAAGAGAACTGAGTATTTGCTTATCTCATCTATTTTTACTAAAATGTTGTTGTTAAGTGCTGTCAAATCATTTCTAACCCATAGTGACCCTGTATAAGGTTTCCAAGAACCCACAGGTGAGCTTGAACCGCGGACCTTACAGTTCAAATGGCTTTGCAGTCAGGCACATTAACCCACAGCGCCACACAGAAAATTAATTAGAACAAACAAAACACATATAGTGAACTAATTTTTTCCCTCCCATTTCCAAACCATTGCTTTTGATGAAAACACTGGTAATAAAATTCTTGCCTTTATTAGAATCTTCATGGTTTGTTGTCTCTATTGGCAATTCAACACTTCCCCATGTGACTTCATCCTCATCAGCTTTCCTTTCTTGTGACCTCTGAATGAAACTATAAGGAACAAACCCATTTGTACTATTTTCTTCAGTTTTATCACAAAGATAAATTTAAATACAATTGCCCCAATCCACTAATTTTCTCTGTAAGTACAGTCTTTTAAAGCAGATTATATGATTTAAAAAAACAAAAAACAAACCCCAGCCCAATCCATAATTCTTAAAAGATATAGGCAAATGTAAACTGAACTAAATCAGAATAGTTTAATACAGTTTTAAATTTATCCCCACATAGATGCCACGTCGTTGAATTTTAGACTGAAGGAGGACTTTGGAGGATAGAGAAGGTGGTGGTTTTGTTGAAGGGGTTCCACCCTTCAACATATATATAGTGGCTGATTAAAATGGTGTCAGTCTATATATAGCTTGAGCTCCATCGAGTCTCTTGAGTAGTTGAATAGTGTATGGATGTATCCTAAGTTATTTAAACAAGCGATCATTGATCTACGTCAGTCTTTTGCTAAAATCAAGGGGCAGAAGGACACTCCTGTATTTGGACATCACTTAATAATGAAACTCAGTTCAAGTGCACAGCAGAGGTCATCTCTCTGTTAGGGTGAATGGCAAGAAAAGATACAAAAGATAAGGAATAGTGCTTCTTGTTAAGGTGAGATGAAGGATTATGTAAAAGCCAGAATACATTACTTGTTTTCTGATACCCAGAGAAAAAAGCATAGTACAGCTGTCTGATAACATCAGTTGTAGTTGTTAGGTGTTGTCGAGTCAGTTGTGACACACAGTAAGCCTAATGCCCATAGAACGAAACACTGTCTGGTCCTGTGTCATCCTCACAATTGTTGTGTTTGGACATTAGTTGTTGTTAGGTGCCACTGAGTCGGTACCAACTCATAGCAATCCTATGCACAACAGAACAAAACACCATCTGATCCTGGGCCAACCTCACAATTATTGCCATGCTTGAGCCCATTGATGCTGCCACTCTGCCAATCCATCTCGTTGGTGGTCTTCCACTTTTTCTCTGACCCTCCACCTTACCAAACATGATATCCTTCTCCAGAGATTGGTCTCTCCTGACAATATGTCCAAAGTATGAAAGACAAAGTTTGGCCATCCTGGCTTCCAAGGAGCACTCTGGCTGCACTTCTTCCAACACAGATCTGTTGGTTCCATGGGCAGCCCATGGCACTTTCAATATTCTCCTCCAACACCGTAACTCAAAAACATCAATTCTTCTACAGTCTTCCTTATTCACTGTCCAGCTTTCAAATGCATATGAGGTTACTGAAAAATACCCTGGCTTGGGTCAGGCGCACCTTAGTCCTCAAGCTGACATCTTTGCTCTTCAACACTTTAAAAAGGTCTTGTCAGCAGATTTGCTTATGAAATCATTTTATTTCTTGACTGCTGCTTCCATGAGTGTTGATAGTTGATCCAAGAAGAATGAAGTCCTTGACAACGTCAATCTTTTCTCCATTGGTAAGAACGTTACTTATTGGTCCAGTGGTGAGGATTTTTGTTTTCTTTATATTGAGATGCAATCCATACCGAAGGCTGTGCCCTTTGATCTACATCAGTTAAGTATTTTAAGTCCTCTTCACTTTCAGCAAACAAGATTGTATCATCCACATATTGCAGGTTGTTAATGAGTCTTCCTCAAATTTTGATGCCATCTTTTTCTTCATATAACTCAGCTTCTCAGATTATTTGCTCAGCATACAGGTTGAATAATTTTAGTGAAAGAATGCAACCCTGTCGCACACCTTTCTTAATTTTAAACCATTCAGTGTTCCCATGTTCTGTTTGAACAACCGCCTCTTGGTCCATGGACAGATTCCTCATGAACACAATTAAGTGTTCAGGAATACTCATATTTCGTAATGTTGTCCATAGCTTGTCATGATCCACACAATCGAAAGCCTTTAGTAGATACCATTAAAGTAGGATATACACCAATACTCCCCAAAATTCAATAATAGTGCAGCAATTATGTTGCTTTTATGGTGGATATTTCCCCCAAATTTAACTATTTGTGGGTCACAATGAACATTCAGTTTACAAGCCCTGCATACACAAAATTGATTATATCTTCTAGTAAGTGTATCTTGTATCTTGTCTACAACGATATATTTTGGAGATTCTTACATCAGGTATTCAGTTCTCTATTTCTCTCTCTTTTTTGGGTATGTTGTTGTTGTCAAGTGCCGTCGAGTTGATTCCGACCCATAGCGACCCTGTAGAGGGTTTCCAAGGAGCAGCAGGTGACCTTGAACCACCGACCTTGCAGTTCAAACGGCTTTGCAGTCTGGCGCATTAACCCACAGCACCACAACAACAAAATTGTTGGATATAACTGCCTAGTATTTAACTGTATGAACTGCCAGTATTTTACTGTATGAACATACACTAATTTTGTCTCTATTATGATCTCTTGCTACTATAAATTCTAATAGAATTGTCTTTGGACACATGCGGGAGTAACACCAATTCATAGATATAAAATTGCTATTGTTGTTGTTAGGTGCTGCTGAATTGCTTCCAATACACAGTGACCCTATGTATAACAGAATGAAACAATGCCCAGTCCTGTGCCATTCCCACAAATGTTGTTAAGCTTCAGTTCATTGCTGCTGTCACAGTATCATCCAGCTCACTGGTTGGTTGGATAGGGGTTCTTCCATTTTTTCAGTAATAGCCCACTTTACTATGCATGATGTCCTTTTCAAGGGACTGTTGTTGTTAGGTACCATCAAGTTAGTACTGACTCATAGTGACCTTATGCACAGCACAACGAAACACTGCCCGATCCTGGGCCAACCTCACTACTGTTGCCACACTTGAGTCCATCAATGCTGCCACTTGGCCAATACAGCTCATTGGAGGTCTTGTTCTTTTTCTCTGACCCTCCACCTTACCAAACATGATATCCTTCTCCAGAGACTGGTCCAAAGTATGAGTGACAAAGTTTGTCCATCTTGGCCTTCAAGGAGCACTCTGGCTCCACTTCTTCCAAAACAGATCTATTGGTTCTTTTGACAGCCCATGACACTTTCAATATTCTCCTCCAACACCATAACAAAAAAACATCAATTTTTCTACTGTCTTCCTTATTCACTGTCCAGCTTTCACATGCATATGAGGATATTGAAAATACCACAGTACATCCAAGCATAAGAAATGAAGTCTCACCATTCTGACTTCTAATGAGCATTCTGGCTGTACTTCTTTCAACACAGATTGGTTTGTTATTTTGGCAGCCCATGGTACTTTAGTATACTTTGCCAACGTCATGACTCAAATGCATCAGTTCTTCTATGATCTTCCTTAGTTATTGTCCAACCTTCACATGAACATGAGGCTATTGAAAATACCATGGCTTGGGTCATGATATTTTTGCTCTTGAATACTTTAATGAGGTCATATGCAGCAGATGTGCCTAATACATCTTTTGATTTTTTGACAGCTACTTTCATGAGTGCTGATTGCAGATCCAAGCAAAATGACATCTTTGACAACTTCAATCATTTCTCCATTTGTTATTGTTGTTTAGTGCTGTAGAGTCGGTTCCAACTCATAGAGTTCAGTAAGGGTTTTAGAGGAGTGGTTGGTGGGTTTGAACTATTGGTCTTGTGATTAGCAGTGCAGTGCAGTGCTTATCCTCTACCGTGCCATTATTATGATGCCATTTATTGGTTCAGGCTGTCATCTTTTATTTTCATCTGTAAGTATTTTAAGTCCTCTTTATTTACAGCAAGCAGCTTGTATCATCTTTACAGTTCAGGTTGTTAATGAGTGTTCTCCAATCCTGATGCAGTGTTTTTCTTCATATAATAGTTTCTTGGATTATTTGCATAGCATACAAATGAATAAGTATGGTGAAAGGATACACAACCCTGGTATACAACTTTCCTGATTTGAACCATTCAGTATTTCCTTATTCTGTTTGAACGACTGCCTCTTGGTCTATGTACAGGTTCTTCATGAGCACAATGAAATATTTTGGAATACTTATTCTTCTGAATGTTAGATATAGCTTGTCATGATTCACACGATCAGAATCCCTCTGCATAGTCGATAAAGCACAAGTAAACGTTTTTCTGGTATTCTCTGCTTTTATCTAAAATTCATCTGATACCAGCAATGATATATACCTAGTAACATATACTATTTTGAATCCAGTTTTAGTTTCTGGAAGTTCCCTGTTGCTGTACTGTTTCAACTATTTTTAAATTGTCTATAGCAAAAATTTTCTTGCATGTGATATTGTTCAATGATTTACACATTGAACAATATGTTGGTTCTCCTCTCTTTGGAATGGGCACAAATATGGATCTCTTCCAGTCAATTGGCCAGGTAGCTAGCTGTCTTCCCAATTTCTTGGCATAGATGAGTGAGTGCCTCCAGTAACTGCATTAGTTTGTTGAAAGATTTCAATTTGTATTTTGTCAATTCCTAGAGCCTTGTTTTTCACCAATGCCTGCAGTGCAGCTTGTACGTCTACCTTCAGTACCATCAGTTCTTGATCACATATTATCTCTTGAAATGGTTGAAAGTAGGCCATTTCTTTTTGGTACAGTGACTGTGTGTGTTCCTTCCATTTTCTTTTGATGCTTTCTGCATCATTCAATATTTTGCCCATAAAATCCTTCAATATTCCAAGTTGAGGCTTGAATTTTTCCTTCAGTTTTTTTTTTTTTTAGCTTGAGAAATGTTAAGCATGTTCTTCCCTTTTGATTTTCTAATTCCAGGTCCTTGCCTGTTTCATTATAATACTTGAGTTTGTCTTCTTGAGTTGCCCTTAACATTTTCTGTTAAGCTCTTTGACTTCTTCATTTCTTTCATTTGCTTTAGCATGTCTGTAATGGAAACCAAATTTCAGAGCTTTTACTGAAGTTCATTTTGGTATTTTCTGTAATTTTAATGACCTTCTGCTTTCTTCCTGTATGATGTTCTTAAATGTTATTTAATAACGCCACTGCTCTTTTGGCTATTAGTGTCTAACGTATCATATCTGTTCTTGAGATAATCTCTAATTTCAGGTGGGTATGGTTCAAGATAATATTTGGGTTCTCATGAACTTGTTTTCATGTTCTCTAGCTTTAGCCTGAATTTGCATATGAATATCTTGTGGTCTGTGCCACAGTCATTTTCTTGCCTTGTTTTGGATGATACTGAGTTTTTCCACCATCTCTTCCCACGGATGTAGTCAATTTGATATCTGTGTATTCCATCTGATGAGGTTCATGTGTATAATCACCATTTACCTATTACAAAATAGGTGCTTGCAATGAAGAAGTCATTGGTCTTGCAAAATTCTATCATGTGTCCTCTAGCATCATTTCTATCACCAAGGCCATATTTTCCAACTGCTGAGCCTTCACTTTCATTTCCAACCTTCACATTCTTTTTTTTTTTTTTTTTAATGTTTTATTGTGAGTGATGTGATAGCTGTGATAGCTTACATGGGAGAACATTACTTTTACATTCATTCTATCATATATCATTTCATTGCCATGGTTACAATCCCCTCTACAACCTTCACATTCTTATCACCAGTCATTATCAATACATCTTGATTGCATGTTTGATCAATTTCAGACTGAAGAAGTTGGCAGAATTCCTCATTTTCATCATCACTGACTACCCATAGTAATTTGTGGTAATTTTTTAATTCAAATTACTCAAATAACTTTGAGTACTAGTGGTATTAACTGATCTGCCTTGTAGGCATATGGGTATTATCCCATAACAGACAGCGTTGCACTTTTCAAGACAGATCTTAAAATGTTCTTTTTGGGGATGAATGCTATGTCATTCCTCTTGAATTTGTCGTTCCTGACATAGTAAACTATATGACTGTCAGATTCAAAATGCCCAATTTTACACTATTTCATAAAATTTCTAGGTCAAAAGATCTTTCTTTTAATGGGATGAGGATGGAAGAACAAGGTAGACAGGGGAACACAGAGGCAGGTTTTATGGGCTAAATGGAACAGAGGTAAATAGGGATATATGCTCAACCTTGGAACAACAGGGTTCTGTGGTACATGGAATGAGGCATAGACTGAATGGGTAAAAGAGGGGAAAGAATGTTATGATATTTAACTGTCTTATGAATATTGGTTTCCTTTACCTAGTACTGCAAAACAGACACTTGAGTGGGACAGAAAGGAGTATAGGGAAACATGATTACAGAAAGCTTATAGGCCCATCTTCAGCCTATAACTGACTGGAATACCTAGAAGGGGTTCTAGAATTTGCCCAATGAAATAAGCCTTTCTGCAGAGTCTTTGTATTCAGTCTATAGGATCTAAGGTGGAATCCTGAGTCCCATCCAGAACCCTCTGAGGTGAGATATGCCTACTTGAAAAGAGCAGACCAACCTGGAATAGCCAGAGGAACATAAGATACTTCTTGAAAGAAAGACCAGCAGGAAAAAAATCCAAAACAAAAATGGTAGTCTGACTGGCTACTACAAGAACAAGCAAGTTGTTTGCTGGGGAGCAATCAAGGCAAGCAATCAAGCCCCTTCAGGACAAATTCCCCTTCAAGACTGAAACTTAAAGGGAACACATGAGCAGGCATATAAGCTGGCATATAAGCTTGCTGATGATCATGTTGACCTCCTGGTGAGCGGAAGAGGGGGAAAAGCTGCAATAAAGATAAGGGCTGAGTTCAACCACATTCCATAGACTCTGGTCAACCTGGAGATGAGAGAGAGAAAAGGAGGGGTTGGTTGGTCTGAAGTGTGGTCAGACCTGTGAACTCCTGAACCCATGGACAAGGAAATAACCACAGAGGGCTAGAGTTGAGAGCTTAGTGTCCAGATGATGTGAAGTGAGGGAAGACGCACAAGAACACCCAAACTTGTAGACAGTTTACATTTCACCTGGCTTTGATTGCTTGGTGATCAAAACTCAACCAGAGGAAAATAAAAGGAAAAAAACTCTTTTTTTTTGATAAAGGAAACAAGTTAAATTGCTACAATTTGATGAACCTGACCTATACTTATAGATGTAATAGCTCGAAATACCAACTGAGAAGGAAGGAGTCCTCACATATAAAATCAATCCTATCCACTCTGTATATAGGGTTGATAGGGATGGGAAACTTATACACTGGCTACCTAAATGGGAGGGGCTATAAAGGCATGAAGTAGTCACAAGTTTTCAAGAGGGAGTTTAGTTTCAGAGTGTGTGGGGGAAGGTAGAATCCCCACTGGATAGTTTTCATCTTGTCTACACGGGTCTGGTGAAAGGAGATGGGAATAAGACTCTTATGATTCAATAGTGAGTAATTGTTATCATGACTAATTGCAACTGCCACAATTGTATAGGTAAAAGTTTTTAACAAAAAGCGGGGAGTAGTTAACCTTATAGTCTAGGAACAGAGAAACCTAGGACCCTCAAAGGAGCAGAACATGAGCAGAATGTGGGACCCTATTCAAAGAAGCAGCGACACCAGAGATAAGAACATGGAAAGGGAGAACAGCTGAGGACTCTAGACTCAAGGGAAAAAGAAAGGTTGTGTGCTGGTAGCCCGGTACTGGTGGCCAGGGGACAGGCTTGCAGAATGTGTCCTTTGGTTGTTTAAATGATTATATATTCCTGAGTGATTTTGTGGACACCCCCTCCCAAAATAAAACAACAACAACAACAACAAAAAAACTCCAGAGGGAACAGAAGCAAATACTGTTGAATGATGATGCACAGTGGAGATTGTAACCATTGCAATGAAATTAGTGTAAAACTGATGTTCCACCATGTAAACTTACCACTTAATTCACAATAAAAACTAAAAAAAAAAAAAAAAAAAAATCTTTCTTTTAATCTAAGGTCCCCATTGTTCTATGACACACTATTATTTTTACTTAAGAAACACCTTATTTTACATAACAAAAATACTTTTAAATCATACAATGACTCCTGATTTCAGAAGTCTTAACTATGGAAAAAAAGACACTCAAGAATTAATATAAAAATCACATATTTTTTGTTTTCAATTAACCACCTCAAGAGGTTACACTGATTTTCTCCTCATCTTCCCATGTCCCTCCCCAAAGAATGTATAGGGCCACCTGTTTGCTGACGCCTTCTTATTAGGATGACTGCAAGTTTGTTATGCATGTAACTATGCATTTCTACATTAATAATATGTAACCGCATATCTAAGTTTACTCTCAATTTGCCTACAAGAAAAAGACCAATCAATCACTTGTTGTTGTTGTTGTTGTTAAGTGCCGTCGAGTTGGGTCCGACCCATAGCGACCCTGTACAGGGTTTCCGAGGGTGTAAATCCTTACGGGAGTAGAAAGCCTCATCTTTCTCCCGCGGAGCGGCTGGTAGTTTCGAACCGCTGACCTTAAGGTTCGCAGCCCGATTCGTAACCACTACGCTACCAGAGCTCCTATCGCTATCAATCACTTAGAATCTGGTTATTGTTTAGACCTTACTTCTGTGCATTTTCCCCAAGGTGGACAGAGTATTGCTTTGGGGGGCCATAATCTGACAAACACCTCTTAACACATAACAACAAACTACTTGTAACAAAAGTTTTAAAATATTCTTCAAGTTCAACCATATTTCCACAATTAAGAAAAATATTCTCATTTAAAAGGGAAAAAATTGATTTTTAACTCATCATCTACATGGAAAAAAATCTAAAAAATGCTATAGACACTTAAAAAAATATTCTCTTACTTTTCACTTAGTACTTTTTCTTCACAATATTCTTCACAGCCATTTATTTTGGAGGACTACAATAAAGAAACGTTAAAACCAAATCAGCTCCTTGTAACAAGAATTAAATACTCTCATAATCTCATAATGTTCAATTCTCCCCCCATGAATCATTTTCTGTTTTAATAGTTTTTTATCTTCATATCACAAAACCACATATAACATTTAATTAATACATTCCAAATGGGCTGAGGCATTGTCTTTGCCCAAAGTGGCTTGTTTTGTTTTAAACTGGTTCTCCTTATTCACTCTTACAATCATCTTGCTCTCAATTTCTTATGTTGTTGTCGTTAAGTGCCTTTGAGTTGATTCTGACCCATAGTGACCCTGTATAGAGTATCCAAGGAGGAGCTGGTGAGCTTGAACCCCTGACTTTGTAGTTCAAACAACTTGGCAGTCTGACACATTAGCCCACAGCACCACACCAGGACTCCAACTTTTTATATATAGAATATTTATATAAAAAGGTAAGAAAGAGCCAAACAAAAATGTTTTCTATACTTCCTCAAAATTTAACTTTCTTCAACAAGAAAATTAAAAAATTAAAAAGAGGGCACTGATTAAAAGCAAATTTGTAACTATATGTCCAAATTTATATTCAAACAAAATTATATGTGTACACAAATATTCATAATGGTATAAAGCAAGCTTTTAGTAACAGTCATTTCAGATGAAGATGGAGACTAGGTAGAAAAAGGAATATACAATTAGCTTAAAAGTATTTTGTTTTTAACAGTGAAGATGCAATTTCTTCATACTCAAAATAATGTTTACAAATACAAGTTTCTGCTATAAAATTTTATCATAGCACAGTACAATTGAGAATCTATACTACACAAGGGTAAGTCAAAAAGTATTGCTAAAAAAAAATATATCATTATGCACCGCTGAGTCAGTTCTGATTCATAGTGACCCAGTTACAGGGTTCCTGAGATTTTCCAATTTTTTGTGGGATCAGAATGCTTCATCTTTTACCTGTGGAGCAGCTGGTGGGCTTAAGCCATGGACCTTGTGGTTTGCAGTCCAGTGCTTATTCTACAGAGACACCTTTATTAATGTTTCTCGACACTTTCTTCCTCCATCTAGGTCGATATAATTCTGAAGGCAGTGTTTCAATCTCTCTAATCTAACCCTTCCCTGGTGAATTCTATGTTCTTCAATTTTATACCATGACAAAATGGCTATTCTGGCATCCTTGAGGTACTCAAGATATGCTGCTTTTCAATGTTGAGTTTGGGGAACAAAGAAGCCTGAAGGGGCAAAGTTGAGGTTTGGAGGGTAGATAGAGGAAGATTTCTCAAAGAAGCTCTCACAGGACAACCCTTAGAACCGTTGAAGAATGAGCTGGTGCATTGTCGTGATGGAAGTACATTACCTGGCACCACTTTCCTGGCATTTTTCTCACCAGTGTTACTTTTAGTATTTTAACAAACATCTTCATAATAGGCCTTCAGGGTCATCCTGTGTCCTTTGAGGAAATCTATAAAGATTTCCTCTTTGGAATCTCAAAAACCAATTGGCACCACCATCTGCGCTGACCTCTCTGCCTGAATTTATCTTTGAGGTCTTCCCCAACAGTCTTAAAACAGTTGATTCATCTAAAAACTGTTGTTTCATGTGAGGCTGCATTCCCATAAACTTATTGCAAAGCTTCAATGACTTGGGAAGAAGTCCACTTGAGTTTTGTTAAAAAGTTGATAGTAGTCTGGATTTCAAATCAATCCCCTGAGCATCCCCCACCCTCCTATGACACAAATGTGTCCTTTTAAAAAAGTATTCTAAACGAGATGGAGACAAGAGTACTACTGAGAAAACTTGCTTCTAACCATCCACTTATCACAGAGACATATTTAAACACATTTTACTTGGGCTAAACCGGTGTGAACTGGGACGCTACTAGCAATATATTTTGACTGACTCTTGTAATTTATTCATGATTTCAAGCTTTTTCTTTGTCAGCTCAATTGAGACTTGAGGATGATTCTTTCACTGGGATAAGATGGATTATTTACTGTTTAACAAATGAAATGAACTGCTATTTTCCCATAAATGTAATTTTTCAGTCAAATAAGCATCAGTCTCCAATTATTTCAATTTCTAGATAAAAACATATAATTCCATGAGGTGTAGCATCCTAGACTGTTTATGCAGGTATTCTCCTTACCTCAGAAAAATCCTCAGGTAAAGGTGAACCATCACAGTCTGTATCCTCTGCTCTCTCCTCTGATAATTTCCCATTGGTCTTCAAAATATCTGTGAAAGAAATAAGAATGCCCATGGTAAGTCACTAAACTTTTGAGGCAGTAGAAAATTTTCTTCACTTGTCTGTAAAAGAAGGCAGTGAGTGGATAAACATCTACCAATAGTTGCAGTGTTCTAACTGCAAAAACTAGAAACAAATGCCATAAGTATCAGATTCCTGTATATACTAAAATCAGAATACCTCAAGAATGGCTTATGATCAACTTGGGGAAAATGATTGGGCAAGAAATCTTAAACGTACAGCCATGATATTACATTTTGCAATCTCATTAATAAGGTACCCTAGTCGTAACTATTTTGTGGAAAATCAAAAGACAGGAGATCCTCTATTTATTACCCACCAACCAAGGAGTCCTTGTTTGGTGCTGTGGGCTGATGCATCAGATTGCAAAGTCATTTGAACTGCAAGGTTGGTGGTTCAACCAAAAACAGAAGAAACCTCTAACATATTTTATATTTACTCGAAAATCCCCCCTAGAGATAGCTTGGTACTCCTTAGTTTACCACCTTAGCTGCTGTGGCACACCTACCTGGAACACAGGCATCTCCTGCTACAGTATGTTTATTTAAAAGATTCTGGGCCTCCTCATCCACAACATCCAACAAAGACTGGATAACTTCAGCTTCTTGAGGATCATCATAAATGTCATCTTCTTGTACATTAGATTCTTGAAAACAATAATTTGCATGCAGTTTTATTTTTAAACTATCAACATGTGAAAGAGACATGGTGCCAAATAGAATAAGTTAGGTCATTTCAAATTTTAAGTATCTACTTTGGAGTCCTGGTCTGATGTGACAGGAAAAACACTGGATTGCTAACCACAAGGTCAGTGGTTCAAACCCACCAGCCACTCCTCAGAAACTCTACACAGGGTTGTTATGAGTTGACACCAACACAATAGCACTTCATAACAACTTGGAAAACAAAAGACTCCTGGTGAAGCAGTTGTTAGCACTTGACTATTAAATAATAGGGGCACTTCAAACCTGCCAGCTCATCAGGAAGAAAAAGATGAAGCAGTCTGCTTCTGTAAAGATTTACAGCCGTTGGGACAGTTCTACCTTGTCCTATGTGGTGCTGTAGGGTAATTACTGGATCGCAAGGTTGGTTTGAACTGCAGAGTTGGCAGTTCAAACTTACCAGCTGTTCCTCAGAAACCTAGAAACTATACAAGGTTGCTATGAGTCAGAACCAACTCAATGGCACTTAAAAACAATAACAGATGGTTGCTATAAGCTGGAATTGACAACAGAGGACAGGAATACTTTGATAACCAGCTATGACTGGAAAGGTGGTAGAAATGAACAATTTCTAGTCTTTATTATGTAGGAATTTTAGAACTATTCTGACAGAATACCACACAATCTAACTCTAACTTGCAAAGAATAAAACAAAATCAATGCTTTTTTTTTTTTTTTTTTTTTTTTACTTTTCACTCGTTCATATTTATTTGTGGTTCTTAAAATCATTTTAATAAAATTTATATTTCAAGGTTTTTCTCTCTGTTCTAGAGACATGCACTGAACTTCTGAAGACTGTTGAAAAATACCAGCTAAGAGTTATATAATCATGATCTCTGTCAGTTGGTTCTCATCT